TAAAAGAAAGGACTAGGGAAAAAAACAAATAAGAGCATTTATCATATAATACCCCGTTATCGTAAATGCAGCTTTATCATCAAAACAGCTGCATTTACACAAAAAGAACCGTTCAGGAAGTCAGTCAAAAGCATCAGTTTTTCCTATGTTTCAGCTGTCTTATGTATTTTTTTCTCAGGAGGACGCGGAAGGCTTGAATACTTCCTTTAGTACCCATCAATTCCTCCATCTATAAAAGCTCGTAGCTTAGCATTTAACTCTATACTACCTAATGTTTTTTCGTAATCGATGAATAAGGGGCAAAGAGGGAGAGATGACGCTCCGTTGCGCGCTCCAGGAGCTAAATTAAAATGAAAAAGTGGTCTACGCGATATCGATTATATGCCTCCTCTGTAACCGTAAATGTGTTTATAACGAAAGTTGCTGTTATGTTCAATTTTTTTGCTAAGTTTCCTTGTGAATTGGAAAGCTATTACAGATACGATTGCAAAGGATTGATGAAAAAAAGATACAGGGTCTTGAGGAGCAGCTGACTGCTGCTAAAAATGAGAATGAATCTTTGAAGAAATTTGTTGGCGAGATAACCGAACAACATCGTTCCTTTAGTCTGGATTTGAAGGTACTTTTTCCTTTCTTCGGGCTATTTGCCCTTTATCCACTATGGAATACCGCCATGATTTGTTCAGATGATGCTGAACAAAGTACAAACGGAACGCGACCAGGCACTGGCAAGTAGAAAATCAGTCGAGGACCAGTTAAGCTTGAAAGAAAGAGAAGTGAGTGGTTTGCAAGCGAGATATGACGACCTGATGAATCAAATGAAGTCGCTAGACTCGGCTTCTGGTAAGTATCACACTTTTGAGGACTAGCAGTTTTTTTTTTTTGCTTTTCGAAATGAATTTTTTATTATTTTGCCGTAGTTTATCGCTTGTTCTTTATTTATGTGACTGGTAACTTTCCCCATTCGCTTTGATCAGTGCTGCCGGACGATGCCTGCTGGCCATCTTGACATTTAAGTAGACACAGGCACCGATGGATTTTTCTGCCGTCTCGAAATTTTCATCAAAATTGATTTAAAATCGACTGCTGATACTGGCTATAATTCGCAGCCTAGTCCTCCAACTGTGCGGACAGTAGCTTTTCCAGCAAGTTGTAACTTTTCCAGCCCATTTCGTCTTCTAAAGGGTTCATCAATCGAAAGAAAAGCATTTAGCCTTATGCTTCTCGAAATAACTTTATTGTCTCATGACCAGCGCTGTTCGATTCCGACTGCTGCCATTTTTGGATCACTGTGTTTTTTGTGGACTTGAAGAAACTAAAAGTTATTAATTTTAATGCTACTTGGGCAAATTTTCGTGGTTTTTTCCATTGTCCTGTTTCTTGTTGATCGGTTTTCAAAAAGCGGAGTTGCTTGCGGCACTGATTGTTGTTTTTGATACTTTTGCCTTGATATTTTGTAAAGCTGTTTTTTCTTGAGCCCTCGTTGTAGCTGCCTATTTACTGTACGAGTTATGCTTTATTGATTCGCTCCCGATACCATCATTTGATAATGATTCTTAAGACAGCGATTCACTAGTTTCCTTTCCTAACTTGGTTGTTTGTAGATGATGCTGGACATCGGGAAGAGATGCATCAGCTCCGGAGTCGTATCAGCTACTTGGAAAATCGGTTAACTGTAGTGTCGAGGGAACTTGAAGGTCTGTTCATTGGTACCTTTATGTTACTTCTGTTTTGTCTCCTTGTCGGTTAAGTGCTGATCGCTGTATAGTTGAACTGGTTGAATGTTATTGCAGCGAGCAATAAGCAGTTGGCCATACGTGAATGTGAAATTGCCGAAATCAGTAAACTAAGTAGCAGTATGGAGACAACGATTCTAGAACAAGGAGCTGTAAGTTACATCTGCTTGTCAATTCACGTAAACTCCAAACGACCAATTTTGTTTCGGCTTTGACGTGGCTTATTTATGATTAGCAGACTCATAGCTGGAAACTATCAATCACCAAAGAAGACCATTTGAATGCTTGAAGACAGTTATCCTTGACAAAACAGGTGAATAGCGTTTCGAATTGAGCACCGGCAGTCGTGCTTTATAGGCCTATGATTCGTAATTAGTTTGTATGGTCGTGATCTTAAGTTTTTAACATTTACAGTCTTTTGTTATCATCGGGCCACATCTTCTTTGGAATGTGTTCGTTATTCCTCTTATTCCTGCGGGTTTTTGTATTCTTTGGTAGTTACATGAAGCCGCTGCATTTTGCTGTTTCTTTTTTTTTTTTCCATCTGTTTTGGTTCGTGTCTGGCTAGGATCTCCCGTGGCAAGGTTCAGTCTCCTTAATTGACAGTCTTTTTTGGATTTTGTAAATGCGTTCAATGGAGTGTGAGTGAAACATCTCTTTTTAAGTCAAAAATATCATCAGTTCAATCATAAGCAATCCTCGAAAAGAACATCCGTCGATAGACTTTTCAGTAGTAGCTCCTCTCCGGAAGGGTCAT